CAGTTTTGTTAGCTTACAATGACAGCTGCTGACCTATAGAAATTTTATTTAAACTGTATTGCTTGCTGTTTTCCATCAAGATATCTTGAATAGTCGTTAAGAAGCTAATTTCATATGCAGAATAAGTCAACTCAAAATCAGTTTAGTCTCTTTACTTTGCATGATTGTACGTAGATGAGCTGCAACTTTGGTAAGGCATTAACATTTGGGATTGAATAATATATTGAACATACTTTATTGATATGGACATATAAACAAATATATTCATTCCACTTTTCATGCCCTTTCTAGTATGTTACATAAAGTTACAAGATACAGACTTATGGGTCTGTAATTAAATAATCAATTTGTGACTGATTAATAACTTTGACAGAAGTTTAGAAATGAAAGAATTTTGAATAGTCATTACAATGCATTTTTAATGGTTCATGAAACATGGTGGTGTTTGAAACATATGCTAGGAATCCATTATTGTGAAAAATAAATTGCAATAAGTAAATAAAAAATTTTAAAATCCAGGCTCATTTGAGATGTCAAACACTTGCAGTCCCTGCCTTTTTTTTTGGTATCAACTTGCAACATTCATGTGCTACTTTTGATGTCTATTTGCATGTGACTTTTATTATATGAAACTGCAATTCACTAGATCTGTTTAAATTGCTACCATAAGGTCGGCACAAGTGGCCACCTTATGGTAGATCACCCTAGTGTTTGTCAGGAGGGAAGCACACATCACTCTTCTCCAGCCGGTCACTTCTCGTAGCGTGGCTAAGCAACAGCAGCTCCCTCCAGACCAGCCTTCCAATCTCAGCATGCCGCGGACTGTGTGAAGGGGGTGGGGATATGAATATGTCATATCCCTGCTCCCTGCATAGCACACAGTACAGCTGGCGCCCAGCAGGAACTACCACCGGTCAGATGCAGCCCCATCCTTATGGGCATGAATGGAGTAACATTGGAGAGAGCAGAGAAAGCAAAGAGGAGGGGGTCGGGAGAGCAGAGCCAGCCCCTATCTCACAACTACCTTAACCAAATGGAAAAGAATAAAGAGGTTGTGGTGCTGGACTAACCAACACCAGTACCTCAGAAAGGTTACAGGGGATATTAAGGGGCTTAACCCTAAGATAAATATATGAAACAAACGGAAGCCGAGAAGCCGAGAACGAACAGAAAAATAATAATAAATGATAATAATAATAAATTACCAAATCCTAACACACCAAAAACGTGTATAAACTGTGATAAAGTGAGAACATATACCCTTTTTAGTTTATTCCTGAATATCACACAAGAGTGTTTAGGGTCCAAAGTGGCTAATAATACGCAAACCTGAAAAGGTTTAAATTCAAGCTGTGAAGGCCCCCTATATTAGTGATATCACTTATAAAGGTATCTAAATATAGTATAGTCCACACAGGACTTAAAGTGTATGAATGCTGTCGTAGGTGCCTCGTAGGTAATAGGGGTGAATAGCAGTGGTTTTGGTAACTATGCCTAGTGGGACCATGTTACAGTCACTAATATAAACACCTAAAGCTCAGTAGTCTTCTAAGGTAGCCTCTCGGGGGGGGAGGGGTTGTTTGTGATAAATAAACCTCCCATTATTGAGGGAAAATTAGAAGTAACAGACTGGTATAGCAAGTAAGTGCTATTTGGTAGGTGTGCTCACTGAAGTCCCTAAATGGTGGCTATAAAGACGAACATAACCCTCCATACATCCCTAAATATAACAGACTGGTCCTAATGGATATACATCCCCTCACAGATTAAATTATGGGAAGGCTATAGTGATGAAACAGCAAGTACACATAAATCTGTTCAGAACCAATAGCTCCCCAAGTCTGAGGCATAAGGGAGCTAGTAGGAATGATTTGGGAATGAACTTCTCCTAAAATAAGTAGTGGAATAGTAAAGTAGCACCATAGGATGCCCTAGGCTGTCTGTCTAGCCCAAAGGCATAACCAGAGTATGTAACTGCTGCTTCGAGGCAGCCTAACCATATCCCTATAGACTCAAGTAGAAGGTTGAGCGCATGCTAAACCAAAGCTACAGACATCGTAGGAACCCAGGTAAGTACAAATTAAAAAGAAAATAAAACTCTATCAGAGTAGGTGCATCGGCAAAAGGTAGCCGATGCGCATTTCGGTGTTTCCATACGCCTTTGTCAAGAGCTAACCGGCAACTGAGATTGGAGCTGTTTATAAAGGGATGCATAGACACTCCCCCTGACTTATTATCCACCAACCCATGCAGGTGAACCACTTTAGGGCTGAGCGAGGTGTAAGTCAATCCCTCCCCATTTCCCTGGGGACAATCAGGTAATAATGGGCGTAATAATGTCCCACTCCAACCAATAAGGGTGAGGCATTACGGTCCATTCACAGATAGTAACAAAAATAAATAAATAAAGACTCTCTGGATAAAATGTTAACTGTATCATGTAGCTAAATATACATGAAAGCCTACCCGTGGAGGGAAATGTTATAACCCATACAGCGGTGCTGAATGGAAATACATAGGGGAAAAATACATTGGAGCCTAAAGCCTTGAGATCAGGAAATCAGAGGTCCACGTCTTTATGTATGAATGCATCAATAATAGTCACTACCACGGAATAGGGGATAATTCCCAGATAAAGTATAAGGCTCATGTACCATAAAGCCATTGGAATCAAACTGTTACTCCTAGCAAAATGATAGGTAAAAAGTAAGGGAAGGAAGAGTACTTCCAACAATAGAAGGTGAGATCGAAAAGAGCTGAGACCAGACATTTGTGTGTCAATAGAGATACTCGCTTATACTCAATCTGAGGGGTCAAATTATACTAGGAGGTGATAACTGTAGTCACTGTAGCTCCCTCCTGTTTGTTGGGAATCTGTTCACTCACTTGTGAGAATCATGGCAACGCATTCACAGGAGCCCATCTCCTAAACCTATTCATCTTGTCCCTAGGATGGTGTAGAAAAGACAAGAGCAAATACATTAGGCAATACATTCGCCGCAAAATCTTATTTCCTTTGATGAGCCAGCATG